GTGACCCCGCCTTGGTTATCCTCCCCTCTCGTCCGACCCGATCATCGCTGACCCTGATGGCATCGAAGATGCCTCCGGCGAGTCCCCAGACCCTTGACGCCCATCGCCGTGGAGCGGGCGGGCCCCTGCGTAAGCGGGTCCTGAGGTTTCGCTGTGCCACTTTCGCGTTCCCAGGGGCTCTTCCCGTGCCCCGGGACCGTCGCAAGACGACCCAGGATGAATGCTGGTCCCTGGGAAGGCCCCCCAGGGGTCAAGTCGTGAAACAAAAAGCGGCGCCAGTGTCCTTCCAAGCTCTCCTTGGAGGTCCGCTTTGGGGTGCGCTGGGGCTCTCATTGAACGGCCCGCGACGGAAAAACAGCCCCCTGGAGGTGGTCAAGAGCTCAGGGAGCTGCGTCGGGGCCATCAAAAGTAGGTCTTTGACGAAACACTGCTTCTAGGGAAGTGGCCCGGAAGCCTAGGGTTGCGGATTGACTTGGTCGGATGTCTGCGTCGGAGGGCCTCATTCCTTCCTTGCGCCTCCCGTGCTCGCTCCGCTATCCCGCAGCCCGGTTTGCCGCTTCGACCGCGCTGAGCGGCCACCAGCATTGCGATTAGGCAATGTCTGGGTTGGCGGTCGGGGCCACCGCCGCTCCCAGGGGCACGACCCGCCAGAGGCCGACCAACGTCGAATCTGTTCTGCGAGCATTTGGCCCGGTCCCGTCGGGGCACGGCGGCAGGCGGCCGAGGGCTCTGCGCTGTGCCGACGGCCACGGAGAGGCAGGCCACGACGGCCGACCCGCAGGCCTCTTCGATGGCGGTTGGGAGCGTTGCTCGGCGTGTCGCGCCGCCGGTTCTGGCCTGCCACTCCTCGTTCGTCGCGGCACGCTGACCACGTCCTGGCCCCCCTTTGCCCCCCAGGCGTCAGCGCCCCGAGCTTCTCCCAGCCTCCCGCACCGCGGGGAGGAGAGACGCGCTGTCAGCTCGCAGGGCTTGGCGTGCCCCCAGGGGCCGCCGCCTCGACGCGCTGAGAGCAGCACTTCCAGACAGAGAGATCCGCCAGAGCGCCGCAGGCTGCAAGAATTGGGCTCTGCGGGTGCTTGCCACGGTCGGCACCGTTCAATGCTGGCGAAGGGGCGACGGGATTCGGACGTCCCCGCATGCAGGGCGAACTACGATCGCCGGCATTGAAGCAGCTCTGTCCCGCCTACAGCAGTTTCCTGGGCATTGTTATAGGATCTGGCACGTCCCACTCGCCTGTGGGCACACCCTTGGGCGGCGGATCCCGCGAGACCAGGCAACTTTCAGAGCGCAGCTGCAGTCGTCGCTGTCCGATTGGACGGCCATGGGGAAGAAGGGCGTCTGGCTGCAGATCGGCATCGGTTCGGCGGATCTCATTCCCATCGCGACCTCAGAGTTCGGCTTCGAGTTCCACCACGCGGAACGAGGCCACGTCATGCTGGCCAAGTGGTTGCCGAAAGACTTGCCCAACACCCTGCCGGGGAACGCGAGCCACACTGTGGGTGTCGGTGCCGTTGTCACCGACTCTTCTGGCCGGGTCTTGCTTGTAAAGGAGAAGTCGGGGCCTGCCGCTCGTATGAATATCTGGAAGCTCCCAACGGGCTTGGTCGATGCTGGCGAAGAGTTGTCTGATGCGGCATTGCGCGAGGTGCGCGAGGAGACCGGTATTGTTGCAAAGTTTGATTTCCTCGGCGGTTTTACCATGAATCACGTGGGAAACCCAGCGCATCCTCACAAGAGCAACATGTTCTTCATCGTGAAGTGCTCTGCGAGCTCTTCGGACATCTCCATCCAGGAGTCAGAGATCGCAGAGGCGAGGTGGTTCACACGCGAGGAGTGGGCAGCCATGCCGTTTCCGGAGAAGGGGTGTATATGGCATGCCCTGAACCAGTCTGCCCTGGAGGGCAAGGCAAGACTGGATATGAGGCAGCTGCCTTTGGGCAGCTCGCGGCCAGGGCACCGCATGTTCTACTATCCGGTGCCTACGCCCGCCCTGTAACAATCCCGGAAGGTTCTGTCTCGTTCCCCTCCCCGATTTTTCACTGGTCTGTCGCTGTCTTGAATTTTCGTCGCCTGGTGCATCCTGTAGAGCTGTTTCCATTGAGCCACTGCGGGCGCGTCTCCGAGTATCGCATCTCACCCCAGCGCAGCGGCTGTGACGAAAATCCGGCACCTGGTGCATTACTTGTGTATTGCTCCTCTGTCTGGTCTGTGTACACTCCCGTTTCGTGTTTCTGCCTGTCAGGATGAGAAGGCAGTGGCGCGCGAAGCTCTGCAAGCGGCCATGGCTGCGAAGCGCAGGATTATTTTTCTTTGTTGCCTTTCTGAGGCTTGATGCCACATGCTGTTTCTCCTCTCGCCTACCCGAGCTTGCTCTTGCTCTTAACAATGTTGCGTCCGATATGTTGGTTGCCATGCATCCCGTCGTGTTGCTAGTCGCCATGCCAGCATGCCTGCGCACGTTTTATTTCGGTTTCGCTGTGGACTGTGCATGCTCTCAGATAGTTATATAATACGGAGGGGGCGTTCGTTAAGGATTGCATCCAGGAGACTGCAGACCCTGGATTGTTCCTTAGCTGATGAGGGCGGGGGCGAAATCCGTAACCAAGTCTCTGCCGGTTTTCCACAGGCTTTCAGGCCCTGGATTCCTTATCCAATGGTTCCTTATCCAACGTCCTCACTCTATGTTCAAGCCTGATGTGCCATTTCTGCCGTGCATCATCGCACTCGGTCACCCTCAGAGCGGCCACTTATTGCTGCTTGCTTGACCTGTTGTTGGCGGCTCCTCCTACTTCGGGGGAGGAGAAGCAGCAGCACCACCAGGGGGGCCATCTCCAGCGAGGAGGTCCGAGATGCCTCCACGAGCCGGGGACACAGGATGTCTCGAGCCAGAGGGGGGGGACCACACCACCAGCCCCCCCCCCAGCTCCTTTCGCTAGTGATCTCCGGTGGTGGCGGTGTCCTTTATCCTTGTTCCTGCTCCTCCTCGTTCCTTCTCCCGCTCATGCTTCCTGCTCTTGCTCCTTCCCCCTGACCCCCACTGATGCCTCCTGCTCTGGCTGCTGCTGCTGCTCCTCCATTTCCTCCTCCTCCTCCGCATTCTCCTCCGCCTCCTCCTCATCCGCCTCCACCTCGTCCTCCTCCGCCTTCTACTCCTTGTTCGGCGTTCCGTATGGTATCATGATGATTGGGTCAGAGGGATCCCATGTCCAGCCATGGTTCTTTATGGGGGCACTGTCAGCCAGGGGCCATCTCCAGCAGGGCCCACAAGAGGCAACCATAAGGAAGATGCGGAGGAGGAGGAGAAGGCGTGGAGGAGGGAGGGAGGATGTAGAAGGAGGCGTAAAAAGCAGAAGTCCGAGAGATCAACAATATCAAGGTTGAACGCCGCTTATGGCCCCGAATCGGCAAATCTAGAACGTTCTGGCGATCGGAACGCCGCCGATGATTTCAAGGCTGAACGATCCACGCTGTGTCAGAAACCCAACGCCGGGGTCGTCACGACACGAATCTGCTGACGTCGCCGATGTCGCTGATGCATCGACGGCATCGCCGATGCATCGCCGATACATCGGCGATGCGGCGCGATCCCCGACCCCATCTGCTCGGATGCATCGGCGATGCGTGCTCCGACCCCGTTTGGGAGGCCTACCATGGTAGCACGATGACAGGTGCGTGACATGGCCAGGGAACATTCGGTTTTGCGATTGGGGGCCTATCGCCAGTCTATCGGCGATGCATCGCCGAGTCCAAGTCTGAGCAGACTCCCCGTATCGTTGCCCCCAGTAGCACGAGGACGGCGGAGGTAGACGCCGAGAGTGGAGGACGGAGGAGGAGAAGGCGGCGGAGTACAGTCGGGCCGCTGGAGAAGGAACCCTTTTTCGTTGGGGAGGGGCTAAGTGGACTCTTTATGGGAAGTCGACGTTCAAATCATGGAAGAAACGGGCCTCGTTCCTTATTTAGGGTTCCTTCTGACAGCGTGTCAGATGTAGGACGGAAAAGGGAGGAGGAGGTGGAGCAGGCCGCCGCAAGCACGATGACCTGTGCGTGGCCCGGCGCGTTTACGCGTCCTTCCTCTGGGCTTCCCGCCTCAGGAGCTCGGGCCAGCACAGCGTTGCGCGCCTGCGGTCCGCCGTCGCGGACGGCGAGCGCGCAGGCCTGGGGGAGGCCCCGCGGCCGTTGTCGTCGTCGTCATCGTCGTCGCTGGCGTCGTCGTCCTCGTCGTCGTCGTCGTCGTCACCGTCGCCGTCGCCGTCGCCGTCGCCGTCGTCGTCGTCGTCGTCCACTTCGGCTCAAGCTGATTTTTCCTTGTGCTGGCTGCAGCGTTTTTTTGTTCGCCACAATTCAGAACTCTACCCCTTCATTTCTCCCTTTGCCCTCTGCGTGCATGCCGGCTGGCCCGACGATCTGTTGGCGTGCCTCGTTTGTCTGCCCTTTGTTGGAGCGAGTGGCGCAGCTGGAAAAATCCGCCGTCCGCCTATGTGAAACCTACCATTCCCCGTTTAGCCGAATACCTCGACATGCCGCACTCCACGCTAAACCCGGAAGCCATTACCGTTATTGTGGACCCAGTTGCCAGTTTGAGCAGGTCAGAAGCCCAGTGAAGGTCTATGACCTCCGGAAGGGAAGGATCATCCAGATATGGGAGTACCGCCTGCCCTGCATGCAGCTCCTGATTAGGACACGTCTACCATCGGTCGCCACGTTGTTGTCTGAGTTCCAGAACGGGTGCATGGCAGTCATATGAATGCCCATCCTGTCAAATATGGTATCCAAGCAAAGTAATGGTTCTTGTTGCCCTCGACGGCGAGTACATAACGTTTCCGAAGTCCAAACGCCCTCGGGCACTGGAAGATATAACATCTCCGTGCCAGATCTTATACCAAACGGTTACTTCGGCGCCAACTCGTTGCTCTCGGACCTCACCTCGTAGACGAATTGCGGATTCGGAATCAGAAGGCCGAAGAAGATGAGCTCAGAATTTCGGTCGAGAGCGGAAGATCGGAGAGCAACCGATGCAGATCTTTTTTGTTCAGTAAAAGCATTCAGCTAGAGGAAGCGGTGTATACCTGAAGTGGTGAAGTTTCGAACGATCTCATCCAGATGAGTGTCGTCGTCTGTCAGCGATGCACGTGTTGCGATGCATGAGCAAAATCCGTACGGACCTCGATATATTGAAGCCGCTCTCTTGGTGCAGCCTGTGTGCAGAGTGTGTTTCTGATGTGAGCTGAAACTTTAAGTTACGGCACCTGAACTTTAAGTAGCCAGGCTGTGCGAAGACCCGAGTCTTCAATTATCGCCATGTTTAGGGCAGGATGTGAGTGCCAGTTTTCGCACGTTGGCAGCCCCACCCGCCTTCTGTTCTCCTCGATTGTCCCGTCGTTCTTCATTCACCCCCCTTCGGTGTTCGCCCCTCTCTGGTTCCCCGCTTGCTCTGTTCCCGTTTCCTTCAACTCGTTATCCCTTATGACGCATCTATGTTCACGGCTGCCGCTCGTACACTCTGCTGCCCCTTTCATACACGATGCTTACAGATCAGTCGTCATCGTCGTCGTTGTTGTGGTCGTCGTCGTCGTCGTCGTCGTCGTCGTCGTCGTTGTCGGCGTCGTCGTCGTCGTCGTCGTCGTTGTCGGCGTCGCTGTTGTTGTGGTTGCCGTAGTCCTCACCGTCGTCGTTCTCGTCCTCATCCTCGTCGTGCTCGCCGTCGTCACCGTCACCGTCGTCGTCGTCGTCGTCACCGTCACCGTCGTCGGCGTCGTCGTGTTCTCCGGGAGGCCCAAGGCCGTGCCGGGGAGGCAGAAGGGGGGGAGAGGGATGGTCACCCAGTGTGAGGAGGAGACGCAGGGAGGACCCCGCTCGCCGCCAGCCTCGGCGCTGGAGGAGCAGGCGGAGCGGTCGAGGCGCAGCCCGAGGGCAGCGTCCCGAGCGCAGCTTCCGCCCGACTCTGGCGGTCGCCCCCCACGGCGGCTCGGGCGCGGCTGTCCCACGCAACCAGCACCTTGAAACGAGCAACCTCTCGCCCTGCTTCTGTCCTCCTCTCCTCCTCCTCCCTCTCCTCCTCCTCCTCCTCCTCCTTCTCCACCACCTCCTCCTCCTCCTCCTCCTCCTCCCACTCCTCCTCTGGCTCTTGTTTCAACACCTCGTTCGAATCCGATCCCTCCTCCCTCTCCTCCCTCTCCTCCCTCCCCTCCCTCCTCCCCCTCCTCCCTCCTCCTCCCTCCTCCTCCTTCTCCTCCGCCTCATCTGGCTGTTGTTTCAGTACCACGTTAGAATCAGATCCGCCTGACGGCTGGCAGCCATTCCCTGACGCAGCGTCGTTCGGGAGCGCCATTCTTTGTGATCTGGCGCATACGCACCAGAGGATTCATTAAACGGGCTTATCTGCGATACGCTGCCGGGGACAAAACTGCTTGAAACGACCATCAAGGCGGAGGTTCTCCGCCGTTTTGGGCCTCTGGGGGCCCTCGCCGGGCCTCGGGGCCGTCCAAAAAAGCGGATCGGGATGAAGAGCCGGCCTTGGGGAGAGGGTCGGGACTTCTGGGGAGCCTGTATAGGAAAAGTGCGGGCATTGGGTGTCTGGGCCGTGCGGGCGATTCTCGAGCACAAGGAAGTTGCCAAGTGTCTGCGACTGCTTTCGGACGTCTGCGTGAGGTGCCCGAGGTCACCCGCAGGGTTGCGAAGGCAACCACGCTTTGCGCCTTGCGTTGGGCTGCCGTGTCCGTGTTGCCCTGCTGGCGGGAACATTGCGGGAACGTTGACCAAGCGTGTTGCTCCTCTGGTTCTGGCCCACCAGGATTCTGCGAGACACGCTTTCCGCTTCCCCATTCCCGACATCCCCGAGCGTCAACGTCCCGAGCTTTTCCATATCCCCTGTCCTGCGGAGCGGAGCGACACGCGATCCGCTTGCAGGGCACAGCGTGTCGCCAGGGCCGCCGCCGCGACACGCTGAACAAAAGCTCCCAACCGTAGTTTTGTTCATGGGGCTGATGCGCGGGCGCAAGTCGCCGCAGCCGCACTCCCGCGCTCCGCTTGCGGAGCTTCCCAGACCCCCGACGTTATGCTTTGTTTGTTCATGACGTCAACCCCCAGAGTTCTCAACCCATTCCTCGGGACCAGATTTTCACCCTGAGTCGATATTTGATGGTCCCGAGGCCCAGAAAGGCCCCCCAAAGGCAGAAATAGCGAAAACACCCTCCGCCGTAACTTTTTCATGACTCGAGTGATATTGGCCCTGCTCGTCCCTCAAATCTCCGCGGCTCGGCCGCCTCGCCGCGTGTCATTGTCAGTATTATTAATAATATCATTATTATTCACAGTCTTATTAATATTGTTATTGTTCGTACTATTATGATTAGTATTAGCATTATTGTTATTAGTATGGTTATTCGTATGATTCTCATTAGCATTATTATTATCATCATTATTATTATATCGTTGTCATTCGTATTATTACTAGTAATATTATTATTTTAGTATTATTATTATTACTACTACTATTATTATCATTATTACTATTATTATCCGTATTATTATTATTATTATTAGTATTCGCTTTAGTGTGTATATATATATATAGGTATTACTAGTCTCACCCGCAGCGTCAGAGCGTCAGCGCGCCCTGAGAGTATTCCTTATTCCCTGACGACCACTGGCGTGACCGGGGGGGGCAGCCATTCGAGTCGTGAAAGGACCACGACGGGGGGGTGCGTTATTTTCGTCCTACATCGGCATGTTCCGGCCTCGGGACCGTCAGGAGACGATTCAGGATGAAAAACCGGTCCCGAGGAATGGGTGAGACCTTTGGGGGCCGATGTTCTGAAAAAATCAAGGCGTTGGGGGTCTGGAGGGGAGGGGAGTAGACTGGATTCGCGCAGGCGCCGTACAGGAATGCTTAGTAGGGATGGCTGATTCCCAGGTTGCGCCTGCGCGAATTGCAACGTGACTGGAGGGGGGAGAGGGCGGGGCCAGTCACAGGCGTGATCGCGAATGATTGAATTTGTTGCTCCTTTCCTCCTCCCTCTCCCCTCCCGCATCCCCCCCCGCTTCAGCGCATTCGGTAGCAAATCATGGGAGCATTGCATTCCCTCGTAATCTCGTCTCCAGGGTGCAGTAGCGTCAACTAGCGTCTGGTAATCGATGGGATAGTGCCGATTTAGCGCCTGTTAGCGTCGACTTATAGCGCCGATTAGCGTAGATTTAGCGCCGATTGGCGTCGATTCGCGAGAGCCCCAAAAATGGCATGGGAGGCTCCAGTGAGTTGCCGCTGAATGCACAGGCGGCTTGGCCTCCCGAGCCGTCGCAGCATGGCCGCCTCCGAGCCCTCCCCGGGCAACGGCTCCCTGCTCTCTGGCCGAGCCTCCGCGCGGCCAGCTAGACTGGAGCACACCGACCAGCCAGCGCCATCCCCCGGGGGCAGCCGCCCGAAGAGCTCTGCACCGACCGCCGCCGCCCCGCGTCACCAGCCGGCGCCACCCCGCCCCGCGCCGCCCGCCGGGGGGGCCCTGGCAAGCAGGGGCCGGCGGCCCCTCTCAAGGGCGTCTTGGGGCCCCTTTCCTGGGGGTCCCCGAGGAGCTCGGAGGGGTTACAAGAGGGGCCGCCCCCCCGGCCCTTTTCTTCCTTTCACCGACGATAGCAGACCCCCTAACCTTAATACCGCAGTGGAGACGTGGCCTCGCTGAGGTCCCCGTCTTTGCATTAGGGATAATCGATTTGGGCGGTTTGGTGCGATACACCTGCAGAAAAGACCCCGTAGCCCTACTATTTGTGGCACTCCTAATTTTAGTTCCGTCCCAAATGGTTCGGGATTCGTTTAATGCTAATATTCCCTCCCTCCCTCCCTCCCTCCCTCCCTCCCTCCCTCCCTCCGTCCCTCTTCCCCCTCTCTCCCTCCCCTTGGCCTCAGAGGCCCCCTGGAGGCCTCCTGCCTCGTCGCCCTCCCGCCGCCTCCTCCTCCCCTCCCTCCCCCTCCCCGTCCTCCCTCCATCCCATCCTACTCCCATTCTCCTCCTCCCCCTCCTCCTCCCCCTCCTCCACCTCCTCCTCGTCCTCCTCCTCTCCCTCCTTCTCCTTTCCTCCTCCTTCTCTTTCTCCTCCTTCATTGGTTGCATTGGCTTTCCTTACGGATAACTCCCTCGACGGCAGTCGGAAGGGCCGGCCGGCGTGTTCGCATGAGTTCGAAGTCTAAAATTTGGGCAACACTCTGGAAGGCGGGACGTTTCGAAGATGTGGCTCTCGCTCCAGCGTCGCACACGTTCGCCTCCCCTTCCTCCGCCTCCGCCTCCTCCTCGCGACGCTGACGACGGCGACAGCGGCGGCAGCGCCGGCTTCCTCCCCTCGGGGAGGCGGAGCTGGACAGCGCCAGGAGGGCGCTGGCGGACGAGGCGCAGAAGGAGGAGGCGAGAGCCCGGCTGCGGGACGCCGCGGGGAGCCAGGACCAGGGCTTCGTTCGTCGTCGTCGACGTCACCATCGCCTTCGCCTGCGCCTTCGCCGCCGTCGTCGTCGACGTCGCCGTCGCCTTCGCCTTCGCAGTTGTCGTCGTCGGCGTCGTCGTCTTCATCGGCGTCGGCGTCGTCGTCGCCGCCACCGCCGCCGCAGAGAAGCAGAGTCGAAGAGAACAGCAGGAACAGGGGAAAACAGTGGAGGGAGAAAGAGAACAACGAGGACGGAGGACGAGAATGCGAGGAGGAGGAGGAGGAGGAGGATAAGGAGGTTCAGGGGAATGAGGAGGAGGATGCGGAGGACGAGGAGGGGGACTTGTGTAAAGCCAAGGTTAATCAAAAATGTTGGAATACACCCCCCTCCAAGCTCCCTCTTCACAGGCCGCTGAAAGGATTCATTTCACTGAGGGAAGTGCCCCGTTGGGGACAAACGTGTGAACATGTGCCAAAATACCACTCTCAGGATTTCAACGCCACGAGTCAACCCGACTGCTGCGTATGCCAGAACACCATTCTTAGGGTTTCAACACCGCGAATCCGCGTAACTGTTGCGCCCTGACATTCTTAGGTCACTCCAAGACAACTTCTGGTAATTACGCTAACCATGGGAAGCCCGCGAAACTTTGCGATTTCTCGAAACGAATGTGCGCGGCGTGAAGGCGAGAGTCACATTGTGAAAGGAACCACCCTCATTCCGTGAAGCACTTGCAATTGTTTCAAACGGATGTGCGCGGCGCTAGGGCGAGAACCACATTTTGAAAACGACCTGTCCTCAATCCGTGAAACTTTTGCGAAATTGTGAAACCACTGTGTGCGGCGCTGCGGCGAGAGCCACATTTCGGAACCGTTCCACCTTCCAGTCGTGAAATTGTTGTCATTTACAGGCTCATGACTGGTAAGGAAGTCTCATGCGAAGCGCCCCGCCCGCCCTTCTGACTGCCCTCGGGGTGCGACAGGGACTAGTTATTCATAAGGGAAAGAGTGGTGGAGGAGGAGGAGGAGGAACAGGAGAAGAAGAAGACGAAGGAGGAGGAGGAGGAGGAGGAGGAGGAGGAGGAGTTGGAGGAGGAGGAGGAGGAGGAGGGGGTGGAGGAGGAGGAGGAGGAGGAGGAGGAAGAGGAGGACGAGGAGGAGGACGAGGAGGTGGGGATGAGGAGGGGGACACGAGAACGGGAGGAGGTTGGAATAGAGGGAGGATGGGGATGGGGGACGGGGTGGACAGAGGAGCAGATGGAGGAGGAGGGAGCAGGCGGAGGAGTTGGAGGAAGACGATGGGTTCGCGGTTCCCTTCCCCGTTCGTTGGGCCTCATCCTCTGCCCCATATGTATCGATCGGCCTTTCCGTTGGGCCTGATCGTTGGTCCACTTGAGCCCGTTCGACCTTGCTTATCGGTGGACGGAGGACGGCGGTCCCTTTCGAGCTTCGGCAAAAAGACGCGCCCTCGAGGCAGGACGGAGGATGGCGAGGTGGAGCAGGACGGAGGAGGAGCAGGAGGAGGAGGAGGAGGAGGAGCGCCAATCGTAGCCACCTCGGGCCGAGGGCGTGTGACCTTCGCAGGGCCAGGGCGAAGAGATTAAGGGCGAGGAGGAGAAGGAGGAGAGGGAGGAATCCAGGAAGAGGAGGAGGAGGAGGAGGAGGAGGAGGAGGAGGACGACGACGACGAGACCGAGGAGGAGGAGGAGGAGGAGGAGGAGGAGGAGGAGGAGGAGGAGGAGGGAGGAGGAGGAGGAGGAGGAGGAGGAGGAGGAGGACCAGGAGCACGCGGACGAGGGATGACGTGGACGGCGGCGAGGGTGAGAAGGAGGCAGAGAGGACGACGATCGGACTTCGACGGTGACTGCCTGGCAGCGGCGTCGACGACGGCTGCCGCAACGGTGGCGCCCGCGCCGGCATGCGCTCGCGCGGCACGCGACGCGACGCGGCGCGCGCACGCGCGCGCGCGCCGTGCACTCTCCCGCCCTGCGAACCCGCGCTACGGTTCCAGCTCCGCGGCCGGTCCGCTGCCGGGCGGAGGGGGCCCGGTGAGAGGGGGCGGCGCCGGGGGCAATGCCGCGGGTATGGGGCAGCAGGCGCATCAGCTGGCAGCGGCCCGCCCTCGTGACTCGTCGTGTTCGCTGGCGCCGTCGTCGGCTGCACGTCAGGGTGACCCTTCGCCGGAGCGACCTTCGCTGCGGGCCCACAGGTCGAGGGTTGCTAAAGGTGCCCCTGGCCCTGGCCCAAGGTGCCCCAAGCTTTTGCTCCATTGCAGAAGCTCTCGGGCCCCCTGGGCCTCGTGAGGGGAGCCCTGGAGGCCGTGGGAGCCTCCTTGGGAAATCCTGGGGACACCTTCGGCCAGGGGCACTTCAGCAACACCCGAACAGTGGCCCCCCCTGAGCACTGGCTTGCGCGCTTGGAGCTGCCCCCCCCCCCTCCCGCGGCCCCCTAATGCCGCGCACCAGAGGTCACTCCTGCCCAGGGTTACTCTTGAGTGTAGTCGACGTCGGCGTCGGCATCGAGATCCGAGGTTTGATGATCGAGGTTTGTTTCTCTGCCTGTCGTGGGCTTCGTGGAGGCCTCGCTGAGGCCTCTGAGTGGCGTGCGAGGGCCTCGGGGGACCTCCGTGGAACGTCGCTGTTTGGGTACGCTATGTCTCATTGGACGTACCTGTTTGCTGAAGACATGCAGAAGGCCCACCAGCCTCCAGGCTCACGTGTTCGGCCTCCAAACTGCAGGGTAGAAGCATCCAGCCTCCAGGTCAAAGCCTCCATCTGTGCTTTGGATTGTTCTCAGGTGGTCATTCGGGGCCTACAAGATGGCTTCCTGCGGAGTGCACCCGCTTGAGGCAGATCGATTTAAGACGGGTGCATGTTCAAATCATGAGGTGTCGCGGTTGCGCATCTGTCAAACACTCCGTATCATTGTTCCCTTGACCCCTGCTCATGTACTGAGGGGAATAGCTTCCAGTGAGGCTTCGGAGATCCGGGATCTTTCACCATCGTTGTTGGTCAGCTCTCGTACGCCGGGTCCCGTGGGCGCTGTGAGCAGGGGCGTCCGTGTGCGGGCAGGCCTCGCACATGGGTTTGGCACGGGCACCGCATGTCGGCGCCGCTTCCTGCTCTGCTCCCCCCCACCTCCCCTGTCCTCCGGCCGCCCACGGCAGCCTCGTGCCGCGTTGACGCGGCAGCGGCACCAGGGCAGGCGCTCAAGACTCTCGCACGTAGGTTTGGCTCAGGCACCACACGTCGGCGCCACTTCCTGCTCCGCTCCCCCCACCCTCCCTTGTCCTCCGGCCGCCCACGGCAGCCTCGTGCCGTGTTGACGCGGCGGCGGCACCGGGGCAGGCGCTCAAGGCTGCACGCTGAGTGTGGCCCAGAATGGGAAGAAGGCGAATGACTCGCACCGCAAAGCCGCGATCCCTCAAGGCTGAACGACCCTCGCGGTGTCGGTGGCCTTACGCCCACGTCGTCTCGGCGTGAACCTTTCGTGCCTTCCCAAGACGTCCAACGAAGTACTGTGTTCTGTCCGCGGTTTCAGACCTCCCGACAAGCGCCCAGGGGGTAGTTTTCCATTCTGGTTCTGTCTTCGACGGCCCTGGGGCCCGAAAACGCCCCCCCAGGATACCGGGAGAGCGCTCGGACGGAAACAGACAATCCTTTGGACATTTGGGCCTGTGCGCATAGCCACGAAATTCTGCAGCTCCGTCCCGTCTGCCCATGCCGCCGAAGAGGAGAGCCCGCGACGCCGAAACCCCGGAAAGGCGGCGGACCGCACCCAGGCGCTCGCTCAGCGGGTCCCCCCTCTCACCAGGTGGCCCCTCCGCAGCGGGCGGCGAAGCCCTGCGCCCGTGGTGCCTGCGCTGCCTGCCAGACTCCTGCTTCCACGTCCGCGCTCCCGACGCGAGGATACCCAGGGCACACTGCGTCGTGAGGCCGCTGCTGAGAAACGTTGCCGGTGATTACGTGCACGCCATGTTCCAGGACGTGATACGGGACGGCGACATCAGCGACAGCGAGCAAAGCCAGATGCTCTGGGCGATTATCATCGGTGCCCAGATTCAGGCCAGCGGAGCAGGGGACGCGACCATAACGATTCCAGCGGAGGTTCGGGCTGGAGAAGGGGCTCTGCGAGCCTACATGCAATCTCGCCGTGGGGAAATCAATGACTTTATGAAGCTGGTGAAGCCACAGGGATGGATTCGGGCCCTTTCGGAGGAGCATCAGGAGCACAAGCAGGGCTTCTTTGCCCGACCGCTGGGTGCACTGACAGATAGGGTCATTGCACTGATCGGCTACGATACTCGGAAGCACAGCTTCAGCGACTTCGACTCCGAAGAACTACTCAGTGCCTTCGAGAAGCCAGGTGAGCTGACGTTCCATTGGGTTACATCGGCTGTTCTGCGTTTTCTTGAGCCGCTTGCTCCATCCAAGTACTTATTCAGGTTGCGCTTGGCCGACCTCTGCAAGTTTTATGGAGCCCAGAGCTCCAAGGACTTGAGCCGGTCGGAGTTCTGGTCGACCTTGTTGAAGGGCTTATATTTCGTGATTGTCTGCCTTGTCTATACCTCTCTTCTCGGCTTAGTGGCGTTCCTCCGTACGTTTTTGTATTTGCGTGTATTCTTGTGCGTAGGTATGGGGATACCACTGATCGGCCAGGGCGCTTGCGCGGTGAATCTTCTAGTGGAGAGGTGGACAGAGTGGAACCATAGTAATGCTTGGGTGGGCTGCCCCGAGGAGAGATCGAGCTATTTCCAATTGCTTTCAGGCGCGCTGGCCCAGTTGATCTTGGAGCTGCTCGTATGGGTGGAGGTAGCGATTCCTTGCACCACGTTCATGGCTTCCTTCTGCATTATGTACAGGTCCTGGTGCCTCAATCACGGTATGAAGAGAAGATTTGCGGTGCTCGTTGGTGCGTTGTTCACTGTACTCTTGGCTGGCACAGCCTGGAGCCCAGCCTGGCTGGTGTGGGTATGGACCGCCGATTCGATGTCCGAGCTCATTTTGATCGACGACGTGCTGCGTTCGGTGCACGTACTTCTCAGGAGAGTCCTGGACTTCTGCTTCACGGTCCTGTTGGTAAACCTCCTGGGCAAGCTCAACGGTGCTATGGACGAGATTGTCCAGCCGAAGTTGCTCCTGGCGTCGTTGAGTCTCGGAGCGGAGCTGAGGCGCGGAGGCTCCCATGCACGCGGAGGCTGAGTCGACCTATGGGGCAGGGCCCACAGGCATGGAATTTCGTCCTGCCCCTGCTTCCATCTTGTATTTATTATCTCTCCATCTCTCCCTGTCTCTCTCTCTCTCTCTCTCTCTCGTTCTCTCTTTCTCTCGTTCTCTCTCCTTCTCTCTCTCTCTCTCTCTCCTGATTGTTTTCTCGACCTCCTCTCCGCCTCCCCCTCCTTCTCCTCCCCCATCCTCCTGCATCCTCCTGCGCTGCTACCTGGATGGCCGCGGACTGCGCAAACGGATCTACTTTCGTTGTCTCCTGGGAGGTCTAGCGGCGTCGGGAAGTACACCGACCCAGCCGAGACCTCGTTGCTCCCTGGGTGGTTGCGAACTGCGCAATGGTCGCACGTTTCGTGCGCTTCTGGCA